GAACCACCTAACCATATTAAGCAATGTCTAAATTTATGATATTCAGAATGCGACACCTTGCGCTAGGCATTAGTGTATATGACAGCTCATAAATATGTCAAGGGATAAAGAAAAAAAAAATTATTACAAAATAAACTTTTATATAATCTGCTTAGGCGACTCGTCATATTAGGTGTTTCCTAGTTAAGCTATGCCTTGTTCTAGGTAAGTGAAAATAGTAGTAAGAGTAAAAAAAAATTCAAGCTTCGCGATACTTACTCGCTGCACATGACTCTAATTACGTGTATTGAAACGCATCCTGAGCATGTTGGTGGACTAATGAAACTTGTCCAGTTGAATGCAACTAAGTAAATACTCTAGCGAGGAAGTTAAGATTATTCTTTAACTGTGGTACCTTTAAAATGAGTTTATATAATGTTCAATTTTTATTCTGAGATAAATAATGACCCTATACCTCTGGAAAAAGGGTACTGCTTTTCATTTCATCAATATAAAAAGGCAAACATAAAGGAGTCTCGTTATTGGTAAATTTTTCATTGTTACGTAGGTACCATGATAAAGTAAGAAGGCTTTGTCAATGAACAATAAACATTTATTTTCTATTCATTCCTTTCACTGAATTGAGGAATAATTTACAAATCAAACCTGAAAGACTTTCTTTCTGCAACTTTATCTGTCATAAACGACTAACGGTGAATCACGGTGAATGAACGGATAAAATTTGCGAACAACTTGCTTCGCAGACTCAATCCGACCGTCAGGTGTAAAATATATTTTTGTGATCCGGTCGATCAGACAAAAAGAAATCGGTTTTCTCATTAAACTGATTAGTCTGATTAATCCCATCATATAAGATTATTTTTTAATTCATCATCTTAAACAACCCTAGGATAGGAAACAGATCTTCGCTATGGATGAAACCGAATCAAATAGAGAGAATGGTAGAATTTTGCATTCACAATGCGAAAAAAACATCACAGGCCGGATACCTAATTTTGTTAGACCTAAGACGATTTTGTTTCAAGGTTTTTTAACATCTCGTGGCATGGACTATCTAAAGGTATCAAAAAACCAGGCATAAGAAAATAAAAAAAATATACTTTGAACCGACCGGATATAGAACTCGATACCTCGGAGATGGGTCACTTTGAAACCGGCGTGCAACCTACTGGACTACTAGGCTACGGAGTTGGCAAATATTTTCCTTTATCATAATAAATTCCACCAGGCCTACCACGTAACACCATTGACTACAAGTTGATTGTTATCGAATTCAATCTATATTCACTGAATACCTTAAATTACCATTAGAAAAAAAAACTTAATTTATATACAAAACATTTAAAAATGTGTAGAAAATCAATAATGAAACGAAGCAAATTTTAGTAAATAATTTTGCAGTTGTGGTGATATATTCGTAGAGTGATCTTAAAATTATCACAGACCTTTGATATCAGAGTTTTTTGATGTAAGCGGGGAATGTAACTTGTAAATATCAATAAGTATCAGACCAACTCGTAGAAACTAAGAAAAACCTCAGTCTTATAATGGGAGCTTTACATTTGAAATTCAGTAAAAAGTTTACCTAAATCATTCGGACAAAAAAGTTTCCGTAGCTGCTGGCTTTGTCTTTTTATACAACGATATTAAACTAGAATAATAATATTTATAATTTTGTGGCCTAGACCTTAACTAAAATTACTTTATGATAATTTATACTAATATTAAAGATAATCTTAAGCAATATTACAATAATCTTAATAAGTTTCGGGTAATTCCGTTTCCGGTGCTGCAAAACGTTGGACGCTTTAATAATCACTCCCGTATTTCGTTTTGAAATAATGAAAAATTGTTCCAATTTTGACTAAAAATGCCGCGATATAAGTTCTCCTCACAGTTGTGCATTTAAATTCACGAGAAGGCCTATTGAAATCGAATAAGAAGTGTACAAACTGTGTATAAAATATCATCGTAGTTGTTATCCGGCAGATAACAAATAGATAAATTGACATTCACATAACCAGCTACCAACAGACAAAAAAGTACGTTCGGTTACGCCTACTTTGATACATTCCGTTCAGCGCCAAGTTACTCAACTGTCACCTGAGATATCACTACTTCTGGACAAAATGTCAGAAAAAATAAATATTCCTCTGAAATATTCGAACTATAACAATTACAGAGAATATAACCTCAATTATACTTCAAAAGGCAGACCAAAAATCAAACCACTAATTGAAGATAAAAACTTCATAACAACACAAAAATTCATACATTGGTTGAAATTATCGCTTTACAATTATACAAACAGTTATTAAATAAATCCACTGATGTTATCCAACAATACCAGAATCTAGAGAAACAACTAATAAGCAAATCAACTTTAAACAAAAAACAGAACACCCATCAATATTAATTAAGTAATCCAACCATACAACTCATTGAAAACAGAAAAAGCTCATATCAATCGAAATATGAAAAAAAAAACAAAGAAACTATCAAAATAGATCGTAACATTAAAAGACTTAAAACTTTGGAACACTATATACAAAGAACTGGTGAGGTTAATAAGGCCCTGAAGGAATTGAGAGTAACTGGCAAACAATGGACACCAAAGCTAAAAAGAAAAGAGGTAACTGTGACACAATGCAAAAAAAAAATAACTCAGCTCTTTTCGGAAACCTTTACAAAAATCAGGAACCTTCCGAAGACCCTCTTCTTATAGCTAACACTTCATAAGCACCAGCAACACTACGAAAGCCTGCACCAGAGATAATACAGAGTGAGGTAAAAAATGCAATAATGAGTCAAAAGTTAGAGAAATCGCCAGGCGCAGATAAAATCACAAATGAACTATTGAAACAAACTTTAACAAAAATAACCCCCATACCTACAAAATTATTTAATAATATTTTGACAAGCAACCGTATTCCAGAACAGTGGGCACAACCCTATATAATTCTGGTACTCAAAGAGACAAACAGGACATAGACAATAACAGACCAAGCCTGATGTCAAATGTATACAAACTGTTACAAACAAAAATAGAGGTGGTAAGATCACACAATGCGCGATACACAGGAAAAATGGAGCAAGGCAGTGACTGAATGGTAAGCGAGGGATGGCAACAGAAGCGGAGGCCGACAGCGGGCGAGCCCCCATGTGGACTAGAATAACAAGGTACAGATTGTAGTGGCAATCGCTGGTGGGTGCCTATGCCAAGAGGCACACGGAGACGAGGGATATTTTGTGAAACCGATAACTTAATTATGGAATTATATTTCGGAATAAAAGGCTTAATTATTATTAATTATTCATTCTCTGTAATAATCACGGAATTCACGGAATCAGATTTCTTAGCTTTACACGCAATTTTAACGTCAAATTGACAGCAAATAAACTCAACCACTCACAGATATTCCATGACTCAACCCTGAAAATATCAGTTTAATTAACATAACACTTGAAATGATTTACTGTCGGACTAATTCACGGCAATTCATCACATCGTGACCGGCACACAAGTGATACGTTGACATACAGAAGCAACGGATCCATGATTGATATCGGTCATTAGCACACAGTTCTTAATAATAATAAGTTGTAGGTATATTGTGTGCTTAAATTTACCAGCTCAATGAATTTGCTCATAAGAAATCAATCGTATGAAATTAATTAGTTGATGATCCAATATGAGGTATTTAAGTAGTTACTTCTAAACTTTTAGTAGCTGTAAAACTTTTCAATGGCTACTTTTATTTTTTTAAGTTTATGCGTAAGAGGTTTTAAACAAGTACAAGAACATAATATTTTAATAAAAAAATCTATAAGTGTAAAAAAAAATAATAATCCAATTGCCAATCATATAAACTCGGGTCATAATAAAAAAAAATATTATGTCAGTCAGATTATTTGTAATCAAAATTAATAATTTAATAATAATTTGCAGGACCTTAGTAAAATAAAATGGGATTTAATAAATATAATAAATAGGAAAGAAGTTAATAAAATGAATCTCGTTGCATGAAAACTTTATAATTAAACCATTCATCTGCGTACGAAAATTTATTTGGCAGCTCCAAATTCCCGATTTAATATATAATATATAAAAATGTTCCTTCCAAAATATTAATTTCCAAGCAAATATTCATTAATATCTCCAAATAACCATATCTTTTTCAAAATCCAAACAATTTTGGACTTACTTGTTACGCCCGCAACTTCGTTCGCGTGAAAAGTGGCCTAAGTAACACCTTATTACACGAACCTGCCGTTTCAGAGATCAGCCGGAACGAACAGACAGACAAAACGTGTAAAAAAATGTTATTTTTGTATACATACATAATGTTTTTATGGAAAGCGGTTATTTTACAGAAACTCCATTTTTAATTTTAAATTCAAGTGAAGAAAATTGACAGTTTTGTATAACCTGACGTGGTGTTGACTCCACAATCGAAGGACTTGGTGCTGAACCACCATCATTTTTCATTTTTCTTGATACCATTTAGGTATCCATAAATAGAATTTTTAAATTACCAATACAAAAATATAACAATTGTGCTATATATGAATTTGAATCGCACTCGGTATTTTTTTATGGATTCGAATCATTTTCAGTTCCAATGATTTTATATGCAAAGTGGATGAGCACTGTAACAGTACTTACCTTTCCCTAGAATAATTCAAACAAAGCAAATCAGAATATGTTAAGTTTATTTTTAGACATATATTAACGTCAAGCTTTTATATCTTACAGTTATATGAAAAAGTTCGAATCTCTTTAAAGTTTATTTCTTAATTTAAACGCAATTAAACAAAATCATACGTTTTCTTTTTAATGCTTTAGGTGTAAAAAGGTAGAATACAGACATATAAATAACATAAAAATATTCAGTAATATTTAATTAACACCACCACAGTTACAATTTCAGCATAGAAATATTTTTATAAAGACAAAATATAATGAAACAAGACCATATTGTATAATGCTGATGACGGCCCTACGTGGCCGCTAACAAGATGTGGGTGTTCTCTACGGTGCCCTGTAGCTCTTCAAGTTTTTGAAGCACAATTAGACGTTCGCTGAGATGAGTGGCCTAACTAAGCTTTATAGGTTAAATGTGACGTTTTTGCTTACATATGATTTTAACTGAAATTTTAAGTATAAAATACTGACTTACAAATAAGTTTTTACACTATACCATAAACACCCGGTTTCAAAATCGTTCATTAAGATTTAATGACGAGTAGCTCTAATAAATGTTCTGTATTTGTAACGGTAACGTCACTTTAAACTGATGACAATTTTAACGAACGTTGGTACAACAGGATGTTTATTTAGCCGCTAACTGACAATCGCGGCAGTTATCTACAGCACATGTGTAATTGGCACATTTTGAGTACAATATCGGATACTCTCTGAGTTTGTCTATATAGGATTATGTAACGAGGAAGTATTTTAAAAAAACCAAAGAAAGCACTGAAAAGCACCTCACTAGATGGCGACTCTAACAAAATGATTTTTGCAGGACACGAATGGATCAAAGATAGTCATTTCCGTTCCTTTTAACTAACATATTAAAAAACTGAAATTTGAAAAGTTCGAAACTTAGATATCAATACAAATACGAAAAATTACAAATAGAATATGAGTTGTTTATTGAGTTTTAAAAATTAATTTTTATACACGAAAGAAAACCAGAAGGGTTGTCATGGAGTCATCATTTTTTTTCATACTTCCTCATTGTCTATATTAACTTAATTTTATTCTTTGTTTAAACGGAAAATAATTTATATACTCATGCACAACAATTTCTTGAAAGCTTTTCTAAACTCTAAATTGAAAATAGTGTATATTAACGGATTTACAGTTGAATTAACGTAGCCCAACCAGGTGATAAAGTTGATCAATTTGTTACTAGGGCAACATATCGGACAAAACGGTAGTAATAAGTACATAAGAAAAAAAGGTAACCAGCAAATAACAAATACACCCATTATTATTCCAAGAGTTCGGGCTGCACGCCGTTCTTTCGATAGCGAAATCTTTTGTTTCTGTTCTATAAACTGATGTACTATATCACCGCTGTTGCTTAAACCAGTCAATAGAGTTTTCTCCTGCTTTCTTCTCTTTTGACTAAGCTTCTTAAAAGATCCAATTACTTTCGTGGTATAATTTTCACAAGGTCCTGACGAGTCATTTGTTTGCAATGCCATAATTTCCATTCTGTGCCGTGCTAAAGGATCGTGGAACAATAATAAAGGGACAAAAAAGTTTCTTTTCATATCCATTAATGTTTTTTTATGGCGTTTCATTGCCTCTCCACTATCTGAATCATTGTCGATATCTTCCTTATTTTCCAAACTATTGTCTTGGTGTTCATTAATTTTTGCAGAACTTTTTTGCATTCTAGTTCCCAGCGTCCTCTTTCTAAGTCTTTGTCTGGCAGCAAGAAATATTTTTACGTACACAATCGCCATTATGATTAACGGTATAAAAAATGATCCTAATGATGAGTAAATGACATAACCTGGTTCGGAAGTTAGTTGACAAGGAGTTTCAGGCGAAAACTTATCAGGCCAATCATTCCACCCTAAAAGAGGTGGAGAACTTATGATTAATGACAGGATCCAAACTCCCGCTATCTGAACAATCACTCGCTTTAATGTTCTCTTGTGTGCATAGTTTATGGGATCCGTTATTGCCCAATATCTATCTAAGGCAATAGCACATAGGTTCAGAATAGATGATGTGCAAGACATAATGTCACAGGTCAACCACATTTTACACAAATTCTTTCCCCATAACCACCGGCCTAAAGTCGAATATGCTACATTTAATGGCATCACTAATACTGCAACAGCTAAATCGGCTGCAGCTAAAGAAACTATAAAAAAGTTTTGTACTATTCTCAAAGGTTTATACGTAAAAACTCCAAGTATAACGAGAACGTTCCCAAATATTGTACTGAGAATAACAGTGGATAGTACAGCTATTGTTGTTATAGCTTCCCATTCTGGTACTGCTATTATAAACCCAATACTGGTATTAAACATTAAATCGTTGGAATAATTGCATGTGTAATAATCTTCTAAACTTAAATTTGATATAGTATTATTCACCACTAATAAATAAGATAAATCATCAGTATAGTTGGAATTATTCGAGCTATTTTTCATTGTCACTAATTTATTTAACATCCAATGGCAGAACGTTGATTTAAAAAATGTCACTGGTGATCACCAAATATAATTTGATCGCTTATCACAGTCAAATTGAAATTTTCATTAGTCTTACGAAAAAAACGATATCATTTGTTACACAGTATATTTTGAAAATACCATGTTGATTAACTAAGCCACTATAAAAGGGCTCGTTCGCGGGGAAGTTCGCAGCAGACTACGAGCAAGAAAAGCTTTATTTTTATACCACTTCTAACCGAGCAGATGTAGACGTATTATAGAACACATACAGCTATTACCTTTAAGAATAACATTCTTGTTAGATTTAAAAGCATTGCTATTCATATTTTGCTCAAAACTTCAGTAAAATACATCTCTATTGTATGTATAACCCACAATAATATGGATAATATTAACCATTTTGTCAATACCCAATACTTCTAAGACTTATCAAAGTCACAAGCTTTTGTTATTTCGAATACAAGCGTAAATAAACTATTGGAATAGTTATATAAAATTAAGTCGATTTTATTATGTATTGCCTTTTCCTAGCTATTAAGTCCCCTCAAATGAAAAGTATATTTGAATTAGACTTTTATTTGAATAGTAAATAAAGGAACAGTGGAAAAATTTATAAAAAATGGTCTGAAAGGAATTCGAATCTAGGTTGTTGTCACCCATTCTATAACCGGCGGTTGCTAACGTTACTTAACTTCTGCATACTAAAAGTGCTTAACACTGCGATATCGGGCTCCTCCTTGTATATAGATAACATACATAAAGCAACACCTCCAAGTCCATGTTGTGTGTTACAGAATTTTAGTTTTACATATATCAAAAAATATTATAAAACTGAAGAGTTTGTGTGTTTGTTTGGTTGAACGCGCTAATCTCTTGGTTCGAATTGATGAAGCAAATATAATAAATATTTTGCGTTGAATAGTTCACTTAATAACATCACACTTTAAAGTAGCGAAAGGTACATTTTTTTTTTAGTTCAAAAATTAATGTTTGTGTCAATCAAATAAAACAACTAAACAAAAACTTTGAACAATAGGTTTTTTTTAAAGTGCTTAAAACAGATGTTACGTTTTAATTGAGTATAGCAATGACTTGTCCTATAAAATGGTCAATACTAGGTAATAAAGAAAGTTGGATTATTATAGTAATTTGGTTTTTGTTAATTGATAATAATAAAAGTTGAATAAAATTATGAAAAAATCTTTTATTTTTTAATAAAATACAATTTTACGTCACATTCTAAACATGTTATCATGCCTTTGATACAGTATCTACACTACCTTTAGATAACTATATTCGGAAGTAACAAATGATTGTTTCGGAACTACCGGCCTATTTTTTCTGCCCGACTCAAAAAGTAAGGATATTCAGGGAGCTATTGATAGAATGACGAGACATCGAAAAATATAACCGAAAGTATTTTTTCATTTTACAGATATTTTTTATCCTACGAAACATAGAAAATATTCTTTAGTCGACGTATATTTATTTTTTGTGTCTGTCACGCATAATTTTTTATAATGAGGAAGTATTATAAAAAAATCGAAAGCACTAAAAAAGGCACCTCCTCTAGATGGCGACTCTAACAAAAGTTGATTTTTGCAGGAAACGAATAGATCAAAGATAGTCATTTCCGTTCCTTTTAACTAACATATTAAAAAACTGAAATTTGAAAAGTTCGAAACTTAGATATCAATATAAATACGAAAGAGTGCAAACAGAATATGAGTTGTTTATTGAGTTTTGAAAACTAATTTACTTTTAAACATGAAAGAAAACCGGAAGGGTTGTCATGGAGAAATCAAGAACGTACCGTAGCGACATCTAGTTTGATTTCGGGAAATAATGTTCTTTTTATAAATATTTTTTTAAATACTTCCTCATTCCAATTTTGATTATTTTTGGGTATAATAGGGATGACGACTAGGTAAAAAAAAAGAAATTCTGTTTAGTCCGCTAAGTCTGTTTAGTTGAATAAAGCTTTTGTCTTCATTTCCATACCAATTTATTCATTTTACATAATACATATAGGAAAATAGCAAAGACAAGAGAAAAGCTATGACAATAATGACAAATATCATAGACAATTAGAGATGACGAAAGAGCACTACATCATAAAATTAACAAGCCGGGCTGGTGGATGTCGGGCGCGCTATGAACGCCGTAGTTGGACCCCTATGGTTGCGGTTCCTTCTTCTTCTCTTTCCTCTTCTTCGTCCGAAGAAAAGTCATCTGTAGTTGATGGTAGTGAAGCTAGGTGCCTATTGGACACAGTACCTACTTTCTCTCCCGTCGGAATATCTGATATAAGAGTAGTTAGAGGTACTAATATCCTCGTGTATACAATTCAGGATAACATCATTAAACCCGATAAAAATCGTCTGAAGCCCCTGCTCGACTAACTGACTCCAGAAGATTCTTCCTCACTTAAAAGAGCGCTCGGCCTCTTTGCTTATTACTCTAATTGAATACAAAATGTCTCAGAAAAGGTAAAACCATTACTATCTAATGAAAATTTTCCATTATCTTAAAAAGTGAAAAATAATCCTTAAATAACTTTACATATTCAAGAAAGTTTAGGTAGAAATTTTGTTCTTTGTTATTAATATTGATATAACGTTTTAATGAGATTTTCTTGTTTTTGAACTAACTGCCTTTAAGCTAAATATTATTATTCCATTTTATAAGGTTTTTTGAGGTCGGTTTTCTACATGAGTTATTGCTGTGAATCAGATGCATGTATAGGGTGTTTGACACTTTTCTGAGAACTATTTTAAATCGTTGTTTGCTACATTATAAACACACTGTCATAATATTTCATTGGAATCTTTTCTATTTTTGGTGAAAATAATTGTTAAAATTTAAATAACCAAAAGCGCGCGAAAAACGCTGCTCTATGTAATGGCGCTGATCATGACGTCACAGGCCAGTAAATATGTCAAATCCATAAGTAACAACTGTCTTTAGAGTAAATTAAGGATGATCGATATTGGAAAAACATTGATATTGACATCGAAGTCAACATTCGATGAAAACCATCGATGTTCCCCAAACATCGATTGCGTTGCTGTTAAAGGAATTGACCAGCTTTAGAAGAAAGCCTCTCTGAAGCCGTGGAAGTAAATATTTTAATGCAATCTTTTTTAATGTAGTAGCTCGGTGGCGAAGTGGATAAGCACCGCGGCCCGCGATCGTAGTCGTTAAGCAACTTTCGCAAAGGTCAGTCACGGGATGGGTGACCAAAAAATTATTATCTCGAGCTACTCCGTGCTTCGGAAGGCACGTTAAGCCGTTGGTCCCGGCTACATTTGCAGTCGTTAATACCTCAAATCCGCATTGGGTCAGCGTGGAGGGTCATGGCCCATCCTCCTTAACCATCCATAAGGAAGGCCTGAGCCCCTGCAGTGGGGACGTAAAAGGGCTGGTGATGTGATGTTTTTTAATGTGGGATAGGTGGATTCTACCCCTTAACATAAAAGTAATGGAATAAGACAAGTGTCATAAAAAATCACGCGGGAGTTTCACGAAGAGAGAACGAGCCCAACGAGCATAAAGTAACTTTTTTTTTATATATATACATAAATGACCTTTTTCCGTTTTACACAGAAACTTTGCGAGATATTGAGAAACGGTTTTAAATAGTTTTCTTCCTCCCTTGTTCTAAAAGTACAACACAAAGCAAACGTCACAATTTGTACTAATGAATTTAATAAAATATACCGCAATAAATATATAGTGCCATGTAGATAATAGTGTATTGTTATATTTTTTAATATGCTTACAAGACGTTAAAAGATAGGTATGTTAGAAATAGACAAGGTAGTATTAAGGTTAATGGGACGGGGGGTTTTAGATGGAAGTTGCTCATATGAAGTAGGTTGTTTCAGATAGTTGAAGAGGATGGGATCAGTGGTACCTTTTCGATTCCGCACTCGCACGTGGAACTATCTAATGTACGGATCTTTGAAACTAAAACCGGTGATTAAAGTAACTTATAAGATACCAACGAGCGCTGAAGTTGACAGATTTATTTCTAATTACCTAGGAAAATGCAAGCAAAGAAAAAACTATTTGTTTGCGTACTCCAGTTACGAGTGCAACCGGTGACACCTAGTATAAAATAGTTGAACTGGATATACGAGATCATCTAGCTAGTACATCTGGAGCACGTTAGATGGCCTAAAGGGTATCTTGACATTTTATTCATAAACATCGATGATTGAATTTAAAACATCGATGAATATCGATCATCCCTAGAGTAAATTGAAATAATAATTTAAAAGAGAAATTGAAGTCATTGTGCGTATTTTTTACATTTTTTATTTTCCTTTGCTCTGGTTTTCTTTAAAAAGTGACCTACAAGTGGTGCGTAGTGCCACAATGTACTAATACTTCTATAAATAACAAACAAACTTCGAGTCTAGAAGAAAGTAGATTAACAATCACAATAGCATAGTAGCTATATAGAGTAGAGATGGTTGATAAAATTAGGTAAGGATTCGCTAAAAGTATTGAAACTTTTTTAATTCATATCGATACATTTGAAGGTTTTCTTTTTGGTTTTTTTCTTTGTCATTAACATTTTACGGCTCATTTATATTTGTTGACAGGGCTCGCACTTTACAGCCTGTCGACCTACCTGTCATTCTATTTTTTTATACATGCATGTCTGTCCACTAAATGCATGGCATTTGATAATTAGATATCAGATACCGATGATTTTTTTAAATTAGTTTTTAACTTGGAGAACACTATATATCATCAAAATCGACTTTGTAATTTTGAATTATTATAGTAAAGTTTAAGAAATGAGAAAAACATGTAAGTTGCTCTTTTTTTAAATTGCTGACGTTTTCTCTATTTCTTGGATTTTTTAAAAAGCTTAGTAAATGATTCTTTTTTTTTTGTATTTCTTTTTGGCAGTTCTTATCAATAGAAGCGGCAAAGTATTCTGTTATCAGTAAATTACTATAAAG